TGTGTGTGTGTGTTTTGTAAGTGCTTTACGGCGCTCACAACTGCAATAAGGTCGTATGAGCGCGCGAGACACATTAAACATTTCAAGTTGGAAGGGAATTTTGAATTTTGCCCGGGTGGCTGTCGAAGCCTACTCTAATCGATTTTGGACCACCTAGAGGTCTTTAACGTGCGCAACTTGCTCGCGAGACCTCTGAGATTTTTCGCCCTTGTCCGAGAAGGCTTGGTGTAGATCTTTCCTACCAGAAGATAAGGAGTGTGGCTGAAAGACAGCAGTAAGATGGAGCCAAGGAGTAGCAGTAGAAATGTTGCAGAAAGAGTCAGGAACTCAGAGTAGGGGCAAACGTGGTGAGGGGGTGGGGGCAGAAAGCAGACGGCAGAACATTGTTAGAGTGGAGGAAAGGAGGTGAAAGGAGACAATTTTAGAGAAAAAAATGTTTCACTCACTAAGTTACTGGGATTCGAACCAGGGACCTTAGAATAAAAGGCGAACCTCTTGGTCACGAGAGCCCCCGCGAACTCTCTTTATAGAACGCAAAGAGTGTCGGCCATGGCAGTGAGCGATCTAGGTAGAGGGCCAGTAGAGGCACAAATCTATGCTTCAAAGACCCGACGTGTGATGGAGGGAACGGAAATCGTCGCGAAAAGGGGGCATTAACTTCGTTTATCTCCACGACCCTGCTCGTTCCGGGTTATCTGGGTAATTGCTCACTTTTGTAAAGAGGAAATGCCATTTAACCGCAAGATTGTCGTTTAACTGCAAGAGCATTTCAAACAGGGGCCTTCAGGAACGAATCGTTATTGACGCTGGCATTAGTCACAGAGGAAGGCCGTGAGACGTGAGAGAGAACCCACTCCAACACGTGTGCTAATTTACTTTATCCAGGTCGAAGGTTATCGCGATTTTTACAAATTAAGATTTTGTTTTTGTCGAGTGGGGTTGGGGTCGGGGTGGGGGTGGAAGGGGAGAAGGGGAAGGGGGGAAGTAAGTACAAGTAGCCTACAAAGTGGAGTAGGCCTAACTATGGTGCGGTCCAAAATTCGTGGTGCCACTTATTGATATTGTCAAATACTTTTGAAACTATTGAACACAGACTCTCTAGCTTTTGCACAATGACTTGTCTTAACAGATTAATATATTTGTGAACACATGTTAGCTGTATTCTAGAAAATGTGTGCGTTAAACGCTTTATTGCGTCCGCCGATCTGGGAATTACTAAATTAACAATTTTTGCTTCGATGCCTTTCCCATACGTCATGTCCTAATTTGCTTCAAACTGCTGCAACTGCTGCCTATTACTTGTCAACATTTCAGTAAATTGCCTATTAAGCTTTTCATCCAACTGCAGGAATTTGGCTTTTATTCTTATATTTTGTTTTAGAAGATTTTGGAAATGTTTGTAACATGTGTCAGTAAAACAGTTGATTCATGCTGAATGTATTGTTAAAAAATAACTTCGTTAAATAAAATAAATTATAAGATTTTATGATTGCCTTGTCTATGCATTATAAGTTTTTGGCTCCCATTTTTTTTTCATCTGTCATCTGACATCTGACATACATCTTTCCCGCCCAACCTCCAGCCCGCCTTTTCTCGTTTTCTTTGCTTTGGTTTAAAATTACAATAAAAGTAGCCTAGCAGATCAAGATCTAGGATCTAATTTAGATCTATCCAGGCCTAGGCCCAGTAAGCCCATGTCTCATTGAGCGACATCTACTCTTTATAACAAAAAATAATGTTTCTGTATTTCAGGGTTCTGTCCAGCTGGTGGAATCCCGTGACTTTCGAGTGGTTGTCAACATCACTGCTCCAAGTTTGCAACAAGCCTACGATGTCAAAGCCGAGCTTTTCTCGCTCAGGGGCGGCATTGTGCTGCAGATTGTGAGTACATCAGTGTTTGTGATGTCACATCTAGATCTAGATCTAGATTCTAGATCTAGATCTTTACTAAAAATCTAGATCTAGAATCTAGATCTAATCTAGATCTAGATCTAGATCTAGAGATTCTAGATCTAGAAATCTAGAGCTAACCTGCCTATAGAGTCTTGAACTTACAGATTTTAACAATAGAGAATTTAACTCTTTTAACTTTTAATAGATTTAGATCTAAAGTCTAGATATCTAGATCTAGACATCTAGATCTAGAATCTAGATCTAATCTAGATCTAGATATCTAGATCTAATCTAGATCTAGATTTCTAGATCTATAGGTGGCCACAGATTTTACACCCAAGAATCCAGTCACATTATAGATCTACTAGATCTAGATCTAGATTATATAGATCTAGATCTAGATCTAGAGTGCATTGCTCGTTACCGGCCGCCGCCTCATTATCGGCCGCTCTCAGCGCACGCGGTACTTTTCGTGACAAAATCTTACCTCAATGCAACAATTGTTCCAATTGGTCAAGAATCTAGATTAGATCTAGATCTAGATAAATCTAGAATCTAGATATCTAGATCTAGAATAGATCTAGATACCTTGATCTAGAATCTAGATTCTAGTAAAAGTGCATTTTGGGTGCTTCGCCTAAATTTTTGGACTCAATGTAAAACTACAACCACAACACGTTATTGCTTGCACTTGTAGCAAGTTATTATTTTTGTTTATTAGTATTAATCTAGATATTTCGATCTTGACCCAATGTACAACAATAACATGTTTATTGAAAAGACACTTCAAATATTCAATTTTGCCTCGAGTAAATTTTCAGTTGTTGTTCACAAGCATCTCTTTGTGGGCTCAGACGATCCAGATATCCACGACTGAACACACTTCACATCAAGAACGAAAATTGCGCAGACGGTTTGGTACCTCCCGCAAGGAGTAACTAGATCTAGAGATCTATTGGCCTAGCTGCTCTGACAATTATCCCCTAAGCCTATCTATAAATGTGCTATGAACAACGCACGTAATTACGTGTTATTGTTGTGCTTTCTGTTTAATAATTTTCGCACCTAAAATGCACGTTTGCCATAGATCTACCTCTTTTCTAACTGCAGCATGTTTTAAAAAAAAAATGTTGAATGATTTCTTAGTAGGTAAAGTCTCTCTCTCTCTCTCTCCCCCTCTCTCTCTCTCTTTCTCCCTCTCTCTCTCTCTCTTTCTCTCTCTCTCTCTCTTTCTCTCTCTCTCTCTCTCTCTCTCTCTCTCTCTCTCTCTCTCTCTCTGTCTGTGTGTGTGTGTGGCTCTCTGTCTCTGTCCAGTCTCTTTCTGTGTTATGTCTGTCTGTACCCCCCCCCTCTCTCTCTGTGTGTCTTGTTGTGTGGTCTCTGTCTTTCCCTTCCCTTTACTCTCTTTCTCCCTCTTTCACTCACAAATCTACACCTGCACAAACTCAGATCCTGAAAGACACAATTTGCACAAGAATGCCCACTCGCACTCTCTCACACACACACACACACACACACACACACACACACTGAATGAAACAGTGACATAAACGGTGTGACATAAACGGACACACACACACACACACACACACAAACAAAACAGAAAAACACACACACATTTGAAATTAATTTGATCACACTCTAACATAATATATAAAATACATTTCCCACCACTTTCCCTTTCTCCCACCCAACAGAAAGAAGAGAAGGCAGTCGCCGGCATCTTTAACTTGACGTGGCTCGTCGTTGCTGCCATCGCTCTCACCATCATCGTCGGCATCTTCACTTTGGCCAAGTCAATACAATGGTTAGTTTGCATGCTTTTTTCTACTTTTGACTTGGTCTTTTCAGAAGTACCATCAATGTTGTTTTTTTTTCTTCTCATGTTGTACGTCTTTGTAGTTTGAAATCCACAATAATAATGATAATAATAATATTAATAATAATAATAATAATTATTATTACATTAATATCAATAAGAATGGAATGATAATCATTAAGATCACTTCCATTACCCACTTTTAGGTCGTTACTCTAGGGGTGGCATGGAATGTTTTATAGTTTTTTTATTTGGAATGATAATGTACAGTTGTCTGTCTATGCTTAGTTTGTGCGGAGAAGAGTTTTCTTGGGTGTTCAGAATTACACTAGATTATATAGAATAGAAAGGCTCTTGTTGCTGCGGTATACACAAACTTAGAACAGGATGAAGTCTCTGAAGTTGTTAATGGAGTTGAGTGTTTGCTGTTACAATGATGATCATTTTGCAACGTTGTTATCGTGACTAACGTAAGCTATTAGTTAAAAGTTACAGTTACAATGACAAGAGTTACATTCATTGCGACTTTTTCTCCGTTTCTCAATCAGGTACAAGTTGGAATGCAAACAGTCCGACTTCCCAGAACACAAAAGTTTTGCAAGTTCCTCCCAGCAAGGCACGGTCTACAGGTCGCGGAACAGCATCCAGATGGTGCATCTTCCTCCGGAGGGCGAGGGAGGTATGCGCGGCGACGAAGACTTTCAGCGAAATCTGAGATGTGACGAGGAACTGCGGCAGGTCACAGAGATGCCAGAAGAGGAGGAGGCTGAGGAGCGGGAATTGGTTAGTGGAAAGTGAAATTGTAATTGTGTATATTGTGTTTTTACGCCCTTAACTCTTTATCTCAGCTAGCCACTCCCAGCTGGCAGCGGCTCTGGCAAATTCTTTTACGACGACTTCGACGTCAAATTATTAATTTTTGCAAACAGGTCTCTTTTATCAAGATTTCGTTCATTAGAAGAACTATCAAAATAGGTTTACTTGTTTTGATTTAATGACCAATTAAGTTGTTTCTTTTAGCTTTAGTACCAAAAAAGGGCCCTGACATAGTGGGTTTACCGACCTCGGAGGTGAAGAGTTAATAAATGTTTTTCTGTAAAATATACCCAGAAATATGTTTATAAACGGACTTATAAAGTGTTGAGCCAAAAAAAAAGAGATAAAAATGGCCAAAGCGATGTAAATCTGCAGGTGTCTTCGATTTCGTTGTTTTGAAGAGTGCCTGATTTCACATCGAGGCTTCACATATTGTCTAGAAATACATTTTGTCACCATTTTTAACATAATGGTCTCTCAATATTCCTGCATTTTTTTTTTTGACTGGTAATAAGTAGGCTCATAAAGTTTCCATTAAAAAAATTTTCTTCATAACATAACTGTGTCCCACAATCTTTCAGGAACAACTCCAAAAGAAGCTTCAGGGAGAGGCAGACATTCCCGCAGAAACAGAAGACAGCGACCCTCAGGAGAGAAATCTCATCCAGAGCAAATTTAATTCTCAGGCCAAAACGGTCCACAAAGATATGATCCGAAAATCTGGGGGCGGCAGGAAAGCCCCTCCGTCACGGCGCACGCAGAACGGTATGTACACAGGCGTGCCAACGGAGCAAGAGGAGGGCTCAGAAGACGACACTGATGACATCATTGGCAGCAAGGAAAGATTTCTCTCCGACAGTTCGGATAGCCGTGCAGCTTCTGTCGTTGACCTACAGGTGAACTTTGAGGGCAGGAGAGGCACTGACGGGTCCATGAGTACTTTTGGGAAGGGCACGGAGAAAGTGTCGAATCTGAAAAATTCCGACACAGAACCGGCTTACGCTAATGATCCTTCGGAGACAGACCCCATGATGCTTGTGTTGGCTGATGTTCACAAGACCAACTCTTCCAAGGGAGACAAACAGGGGATGGGACCCGCAGCGGGCAGGCCGGGGAATCTCTACATGAAGCCGTCGGAGCTAAAGCCCGTTGTGATGTCCACGTTTGGCATGGACACATCCACACCCAAGAAAGGCGTGGCGTCGCGAGACAGTGGCAACGGCACTTCATCTGGCAACGAAACAGCAGAGGAACTTTTTCAAAATGTTGCGCAAAAGTATCAGCTGGACGGTTCATGGTTTGCGCAGACTTTTGCCTCGATGGGGGACATCCCCGAAGACCCTCGGGAAGATCAGCAGAGTGTCGTCAGTGGGAGCGCAAAGTCCACGTCGATGTACGGCAGCAGCGAGATCTTTGACGCGGGGGATGATGGCAACACGTACTACAACCTCGACTCGGATATCGATATACCCCCTCTGGACGGGGAGGATGTGTTTTCTGACGGGGGACTCCCCAGCCCCCTGGGCTTCCCCATGAACCGCCCGGGGGAGAAAGGGAGAGTCAACGACGACATCAAGCTTATCCCTGGAGCGCTGAAATCTCCGGGCCCGAACACGCCTCGCATGCTGAGTACGGTGAAACCTCGGCCCAACAGCAGCATCATACTAGGAGGAGGTGACAGAAACAAGACCGGAGGGGACACGGGCTCGCAAGTGGCGTCGGGCTCACAGGCGGCTGTGATGCAAACGGATATTTCCCCTCCCCTCCCGCCACCACCAGAACAAGACAGGGGGCTGTCGGACACCGTATTTGAGTTCCCCCCACCCCCCAACTTCTACAAGCCCCCACCGCACATGGTGGCGAGAAAGCAGAGAGAGGGGGAGCAGACAGGTGGTGCTGGGGGGCCGAACAGAGGGAGCGGGGAGTACGTGCAGATTCAGCGGCCGGGGAACAAGAGTGAAGGGTCTAGTCAAGAGACAAGTGGACAGAGGAGAGGAGGAAAACCAGGAACAAAGCTGGCTCCTACCTAGTGAGCTTTTTCCTCTCATTTTTCCATTTTATCAGAGATGGCCATTATAATACTGAATTATCGTAGGATTTCCAACCACAGTAACTTCATTGTTTTATGTAGTCCTTTTTGTTTGTTGTTAGTGTGTAGAGTCCCTGTACCTAGAATTTGTCCTAACATGCTTTTATTTACTGTCTATGATGCTGTCTTTCATTTATTTCTAAATGAGAATTGGTTTATGGATTTTACTCAGTCTAGCAGTTAACTGTACTTGCATCTTGAATCTACTTTCTAATTAGATACATATTGGTCTGGTCTCTACCTCTACCAAAGTGTACGGAATTAAGTTTTTAAAACTTGAAATTAAGGAATAATTACTAATTCCATGAACTCACCTTTAAAAATCTAAACTTTGCCATGTTTTCTTCTTATAAAAATAAATTTAAAATGTTACCAAATTAAAATACATGTTACAAAATTCAATGCCGTTGTGAAAAAAGTTTTCCCGTTGTCATTCCCTCAGCATGAACTTGACCTTGCTGTCGACCCTGTGCGTGCTCACTCTCGCCTCTGGCGTGTACAGCGCTATGTCTGCCAGCGAGACCAAGGTCGAGGTCACCATGTTCATCCCCAAACATTTCTTCACCAACAACACCAGAGTGTTCTTCAACTTCGAGAAAGACACGGAGGCCATGAACACGGAGGATGTTCTTGTCTATGGTAGGATGTAGGCCTACCAGTGTTTGTTTAAAGTTCTCTGATTTTTGCAGTAGGTGCTTCTTATTCAACTTCTTCCCCTTTTCAGCTTTCTTTTTCTCTTTCTCTCTCTCTCACTCTCTCTCTCT